GGTGTTGCTGTTGTTTTTAATTATTGTATTGTAATTTTTCTGTTGCATGTGAAGCACTTTGTGCTACATTTCAAATGTATGTAAAGTGCTATACAAATAAAGTTTGATTGATTAATAGACTATTCCACAGAGATGGTTAATAATCAAACAAACAAACAAACAAACAAAAAGAAACAAAACTAAAGTAAAAATACAGCTAATTAGGCCTACACATTTTATTTCAGTTACAAGAAGATTATCTTTATATCATTCGTATACTTCAATATGCATGTTAATCTGCAATATAGAAAGTTTTATTTGTGTTTTTGGCCAGGATCATAAATATTACTGTTGGGCCTTTGTCTGTTAAGCCTTTGTTAGCTTCTCATAGACAAATCATGCTAAATACAAACACTAGTTAAATTTGATTAAGCTGCACAGTCCCCCTTTTAAAAGTGATGTAAACACAAAAGTTTTGATGTGATTTTCAGAAATGATCTGGGTGCGTGTGATTAACCCTGAACAAGTCATTGTTCATATGTATTCATGAACAGGTCTGTTTGTCTTGGCCAACAGCCCAGTCTCATCTGTGGGACATATTTAATTTCACTCCCCTTTAAATGAAAAGCACATTGAAAGGTGTAAGATTTTATGATGTGGTGTAGGGTATAACCAGTGTGTCCATTTACTGGAAAAGGTCCTGCTATTTGAGTGTTATATGGGCTATACAACATTTGATCGACCTAATTTAATCATCCTTTTTAAAATTTGGGGCACAAGAAGGACTATTGATCAGGTTACATCATTTTTACAGAGTCACATTTGTGACCACCAAAGATGTTGTGCAGTTCAGTGTATTTTCAATTTTATATTTTGAAATAATAAAGAGTTAAGATGAAATGTTTGCAACATCACAGTGCACTGTCACATGGCCAGAGATGTTTATGTAAAAAAGAAAGGAGAAGATGACACTCAAAAATGCCCTTCAAATTAACAAGAGGTAAAGTTATTTAAGTTCAACCCAAATCATATTGTGACTGGTGGGACAGAACATTGTCCATTTCATTATTAAAACGCTGAGGTAACCTGGCTGCTATAGGGACATATCTGAAAATAAAATACATATGTCAACTATCTCAGTGAAAAAGTAAAAAGATCAGTATCTTTACATTCAGTTGATCAAAAATCTTTTACAGCACCTTTAATTCACAATACAAGGTATTATCCCACTGGTCACAACTGTTACTGTTATCACTTTTGCCTATTATAACCTGTTACTATTTAACTATGAGCAAAAGTTAAGAAAAGTGTGAAAGAGTTTCTATCTGAACAAATATGTGTTAATACACATATTTAATACACACATCTTGGTCAAAAGTCCAGCTCTCATCTGTGGAGCATATTTGTGTGATTTAAGTCCACTCACCTTTGGTTGGAATGCACATATTAATGTGAAGGCAATGAGGTACAAATGGATATAGATGGACTATAATGAATTTCATTCAGGAAAAATAAAGTATTATCTGTCTATCTTGCTTTAATCAGCCAGGTTATGGAATTATTAAAGGGGCCAATAAGACAAAATGTCTTCAGGTTCTTTTACTTTGACTTTGATTATTTTAGTCTGATTATACTTTGAATTATTATCTCTTGAGTAGTTTATCATTTTCAGTTGTTTCTCTGGCCACCCGTGTCCACTTATTCATTTTGTACAAAAAGTCGAAACCTTGGTGGATTTGAACAAAACAATTTATTTTGTCCGGCACAGTTTATAAAATCAGGGAATCTGCTTTGAACTTAAATGTGTGTTTTTGTTCTGTATTTTGGATGTGCCTGATTCAAAGTCATCCTGCTCTTTTATGTTGTTATCAGACTGGGTGGATTTATCAAACTCCAACCAGTTCTCATCAAGACATAGAATTTGACATGATCCTTTTTTGGTGACAGTGAAGTAAGGTGTGACTATTATATCTACCAACTGTCTAGACCACAGGTGTCAAACATACGGCCTCGGGGCCAGATCCGGCCCTCCAAGACCTTTAATCTGGCCCTCGGCTGATTTTCTACTAAAATATTTTAATTATATTTTCTATTAAAATATTGTTAATTTTCTGCAGTGCTGAGCATAACAGCGTCTCCAGCGTCTCTGTACGTGGCTCCTCCCACCAGAGCAGCACAAATGAAGACTTGTCTCTTTCCAAACGCTCTTAAAGGACGATCGTTTTGACTGTTGACCGTGACACCCTCATCAACAAAATGTCCAAAATGAGAAAAGTGGAGCCGAGTGCAGGATTTTCCAAGATAAATGGACTTATTCTTATTTACATACAAGTTCATGTTAAAACATTGTGTTGAAATTGAATTTTTCTTAAAGTTTCAGGTTGTTCATAATATAATATTATAATAAGAAAGAGTTCATCAATTAAAAAATATTTCTGTAATAGATTTGCATTTCTCTGCACAAATATTTGAACTTATTGCTATTTTTGGGGTATATGTGCCATGAGTTTTCTGATCCGGCCCCTTTGGGATCAAAGTAGGTTGGATATGGCCCCTGGACCAAAATGAGTTTGACACCCCTGGTGTCCAATCAATCCAATCAATCCAATCAATTACCCCTCTCACATTCAAATAGGAGAGGGACTCCAACTAGAACTACCACCTGCTCAGTGAGTACTCTTCAAATATTAACTAATGTTAAAAAAACGTGAACACTGTAGGCGACAGTTTGACACTCAGTTTATTTTAGACACTGTTGTGAGACTTATACATTATGCTACTTTAAACAATACATCAAAAGAAATTCATTTTCCATTGTTCCCTTTAGTTACTTTTACCTTTTGCCCCTTTTCCCCTTTACCTCCTTCATCCTCCTCTCCTCCTTTGCCCCCTCTTCCTTCTTTACCTTCTTCATCCCCCTCTCCTCCACTTGCCCTTTCAGACCCCCCTTCCTCCTCTTCCTCCTCTTCCATCCTCTTCATCCTCTTCCCTCTTTTCACCCTTTTCAGCCTCTCCTCCTCTGTTTACTGGATTTATTTCTTGTTTCTTGTACTTAAGAAAAGCTTTCAAATAGGACTCAAAATAAAATGTATCGACTTTCTCCTTCATAGTTCTCTGTAGCTCCTCGTCTCCGGAGACACGTTTAACATGAAGTTCTTTTCCATTCCAGACCACAAAATCACACCATTTCATTCCAGTCACTAGCATCTGACCCTGAATCTGCCAATTATGCTTGACGATTACTTTGACATTTCCTGTTTTCTTGTCGACGTAGTCTGCAATCCTTTTCTCAGTAGGACACTTAACTTCAATGAGACCAAAGCCTTTCACCTCTGGATCATAAATGATCCCATCTGGAGATGCACCCATCCAATAAGCGTCAGGATGGATAACGAAGCCACAGGGAAAGTGTTCTGCGTTCTTCTGTTCGCAGTATTTTCTGATGGCCTCTGGCTCCATTTCCAATCCTCTCCTCATGGATTCCGTCTGAGGGATCCCATTCAGGAGGCGCTCTATCAGTTTGCCCTTATTTTCCTCTTTGACGTGACTCACCTCCCTGAAGTGAGAGGCAGTGATCCTTGGCTTTCTGAGCTCTTTCCACAGTTCACACGAGCTCTGATTTCTGGTGTCATTTTCGTACTTGCGTGCCTCTTCCCAGGTGACCTTCAGGCTTCTTAGATGTTCCTCTTCCTCCTCATTGCCTGTAAACTTACTTTCTGGCAGTGTGTAGCCATCAAGAGGCAAAGCTGGAGGTGGGGATCTCTGTTTCTCTCTCTCACGGCCAATGCTCAAAAATTCAATTCCGGCCCCAATACTTTGCAGAGCTGTTTCCCCTCCAGGTGATGAATTTGATGAAGATGATGAAGATGATGAAGGTGCTTGGTCCATGGCACTACAGAAAATAAATGTAATTGTTAACTTGTACTTCATGCTATTATTTTCATCTGTAGTAATATTGGAAGTTATTTAAGTTCAACCCAAACATATTGTGACCGATGGGACAGAACATTGTACATCTCATTATTAGCAAATTCTCACACATGCTGTTGTCTAGGTAACCAGGTTATATCACAGACGGCATTGATGTAAAATCCAAATGATTTTGTCATTTTAATTAAAAAAACATACTCTTGTATCCAAGTACACCTCCAGACTCCAGTTAACATGTTTTTGTTTTAAATAGTTTTTTTTTTTTTTTTATCCCAAAGGCACTACAGAAATGGATTAATCAACAAATAATCATTATGTGTGATTTTTTTCTCAAACTCTATTTAAACAGATGCTAAATTACACATGAAAAGGAGAAAATCGCATCATTCATGTCCTGTGGTCTCAAGTACATACATATTTTTTTTATTTTATTACATTATTACATTATTTTATGGTATTTATATTTTTATATGGGTTTACTTAACATTATCTATGACATTATTTCCATGTTTTTACATTTGTGTCATTCGTTTTTCTTCTGTCCAGTGTCTGTGCAGGAGAGTTTAGAGCAGAAGTTTGGGAAACAAGGAGGACCCATCCCCATCGTGCCCACCGCTGACTTCCAGGCTCGAGTCGCTGTAAGTGCACAAAGTTCAATCACACTTTTATAAGTTAAACTGAAGGAACTGGAAAGTAAGTGCATCAATATGAATGTGCAGGAAAGAACTGGTTAAGAGGCAAAGCTGTTTAATTGAACAGGCGTGTTGATTTTTTCTTTTTTCACTTTAATATATCAACTCATTTCAGTGCAAACATTTGAAGTTGTTGGGGAAGTACACAAACAAACACAATATTCAAATTCCACAAATGGAATTAAAGTGTAACATCCTAAAGTGTAACTCGTAACTTTTCTGGTGGGGATTCTCCCACAGTACAAGCAGGTCCACCAGAAAAAAGATGATATAAAAGCAGCAGTTTGGCAGGTTTGTGATTTCACATTTTAAATGTAAATCATTTAGTCTCGTCTTGTCTGGGGCCAGGACTCCTTTTGAAATAAGAATCCAAATCTCTGTGGAACTTGATTAAATAAAGAACAAATAAAATGTAACAGTTGAGTGAAAATGGTCGCTTCTTTGACTCAATCTGGAGACATGACTGTTTTTCTTTTTATCCTTTTAGCAAATCATGCGCACAGCCAGTAAGTACACTGTTATCAGACAAGTTGAAATTTTTAAAGTTTAAATTTGAACATGCTATTATCATTTTTGCATAATGTAAAACATATTATAGACTGTTACTATTTAACTAAGCCAGAGTTGAATAAAAGTGTAAAAGAGTTTTTTTTTTCTAATTTTCAGAAATGACCTCGGTGCGTGTGATTAACCCTGAACAAGTCCTTGTTCATATGTATTCATGAACAGGTCTGTTTGTCTTGGCCAACTGCCCAGTCTCACCTGTGGAACATATTTTATGGTGATTTAAGTTCACTCCTTTTAAATGAAACGCACATCAAAAGGTGTAAGATTTTATGATGGTGTGTATAGTGAAGGAATGGGGTATAACCAGTGTGTCCATTTACTGGAAAAGGTCCTGCTTTTTGAGTGTTATATGGGCGATCTAACATTCAATGGGCCTAATTTAACAATCCTCTTTAAAATGTGTGGCACAAGAAGGACTATTGATTAGGTTACATCATTTTTATAGGGTCCAATTTGTGACCACCAAAAAATGAAATCTGTTGGTGCAAATGGAAGCAATTTGTACAAAAATTCAAGACGTGAGAAAAATTGAGATAACTTTTGATGTCCCACCCCTTGAGATAATGTGGACCAAATTTGAGCCTGTTTGGGTGAACGCCCTCGGAGGAGTTGGCACAAGTATGAAGTTTACAGAAAATGCTTCGCAGATTAAAATCCAATATTGCTGAGCCCTGATGGAGCGGATGGCGCTGGTGTAATAGTATTTTTTTACTTGTCTTGTCATGATCTTTTTTAATTTATTTATTTTTTTTATGGGAGGAAGATCAAGAAGTCTAACTTTTATCACCAACACAATACGCACAAGACAGAGACACAATTAGAAACTGAACTATACCTACTAAATTGTGTTGCAAATATAGGCTTTGTTACTGGAAATGACAATAAGGATTTACTTTAAGATTTATTACAAATGTTGTGCACATTTTAAGGTAAATTTATGGTTTCAAATATTTGGACATAGGCAGGTGGATCAATTATGTGTTTTTTATTTATTTTTGTGCAAGTTATGAAAAAGTAAAAATCTCCATGCTTGTTAAACTTTGGTGTAAACCTGGTGACAGTGAAGGAATGGAGTTAACTAATAAAAATATAAAACATTGAGAGTTGAATAATTAAAACATATATAAGCAGTTAAAAGCATGAATACATATTAACTTGGAAGAGTTCTGAGTTGGTTCAGTTGTTTATGATAAGTTGTTTATTGATGGGTTTAGTCTGGTTGGTAAAATGTCCATAATGTCCACATGAGGGCGCCAGAGCATTTTGTTTCCATCCGTAGATGTTTACAACTCTCAAAGATGAACACAATCAAATGAATAGTACAGGGTAAAAAAAACAAAAACAATAAATAAAAATCAAAATACATAAAATTAAAAAAATATGTAATAAATAAATAACGTAATAATACATAATAATAATCCAATAACAATAATTAATAAAATAAATAAATTGCACAGGGTATTCATATGTTTCTGTGTCTTGGGCACCATTTTGAGGACTTTTTTTTGCCATTCCATAGATGTAATATTATTTTGAAGGGTAACTGCAGCCCTTTTCTCTCTCCTCAGGGCTTTGGTAACGTGGGTCTTCACTCCATGAGGTACCTGCACAGGTTCGGGGCCAAGTGTGTGGGAGTGGGCGAGATCGACGGAAACATCTACAACCCCGAAGGCATCGACCCCAAGCAGCTGGAGGACTACAAACTGGTCTGAACCGCTCTAGTCCAGTTCTGAACCGCTCTAGTCCAGTTTTCTGAGACAATTGATACTTTGCAGTGACATCATGCTGGGGGCAGCAGCATGTATGTCTATGGTGGGATGTTTATCAGTTACCATGGTCACACATTAGCAAAAACTCCCAAATAATTGAGTTTTCAAAAAAAAAAAAATATGAAAAAGTGTTGACCAATGTAATATACTATAATTCCATCTCAGTTGTTTAGGATCAGACTGTTAAAATAAAATAAAACTCAGATTAACGTTCATCTTGAGTAACAGCTTCAGACAGTTAACATCACCCCCAAGGGAACATTAATGACATGAGTTGCAAAGTATCAATATATATATTACAACTTGAATACCCATACCACTGATTCATTCGGTGCTTTTTTCCACAGGTGCTATTATCTTTCTGCCCACAAGACTTTTGAGTTCCTCTTTAAGTGGTTTCATCATTGACACTGGCACTCTGCGCTTTGGAAGTTTGACGGGCTGCACAGTATTGTCAATTTCCAGCTTATGTTCCCCTTGCAAGCAGCCGTCTCCTTTAAACACGTCCTGAAACTCCGTCTTTATTTCTTCCAACTGCCAGGTGTCTCCATTGACAATGTCTTCTGTCACAATACTGTCTAGTGCATAAATGTTGTATTGGACCTCAGTGAGTTTCATTGCTTCACTTGCGCTGCGCCCTAGAAGTGGCGTTTTACAGTCTTCTCCAACAACTTGGAACTCAACTCTGTACTTTTTCTGATTTCTTGGATTTGTCATCTTAACTTTGCACTTGCCTAATGGACACATTTTTGACTTGTTGTACATTACCAGTACCTTGTCTGTGTGCTCCAATTTCACATCCGGATTGAGCAGGTTGATGGGTATGATGTTGCAGGTAGCACCACAGTCAATCTGGAAGTTCACAATATTTTCATTGATCATCATCCCAGCAAACAGTCGTTCAGTTTTACCTTTTTGTTTCTCGTCAATCTGGTTCACTTCTGCTGCTGATGAAGTTACTGCTGTGACTGTCATTATGTCCTCACATGAATCTGAATCAGTCTCTGTTATGGTGTGAACTAGGGATGGGCATGATTAATCGATTAATCGATAATTGATCATTATGAATTTCATCGATTACGTTAATTTTAATCGACAAACCGAATGCAGGTTGCTGTGCGTAGCGTGACCAAACAGGGGTCCGTACATGTAGCTCTCTGCACTCAGAAGGAGCGAGACACAAACAGTCGGTCAGTCTGTAGCATACCGAAGCACAAATGCGTATTGAACGATGATTTGTACAAGAAATTCCACGCTTTCCGTTGCGTTCGGGACAAGTGTGAGTCCATGTGCACAGTGTACAAAGCAGCACATATGTTTCGGTGTCCAGTGGGAAAAAGCTTTACCAGGTGAGAGCTGCGCAATGTCGATGACGAGTCCCCATCTCCCACCCCCCGTACGGTGTCCTGGTTTTGACAAACGCAAATATGGTCACACTAACCTGTATTCCACTGAATAATGTCTTTTAATCCAACAGACGTTGACCGCATCAGCGACACAAGAGCTGTAGTTTTATCTTCGCTTAGTTTATGCAAACTAGTGATGCGGTTTTAAATTTAGTTTCTGTGAGAGTTGCGCAAAACTGCATTAAACACATTATAATGTCAAACGGGCTGATGTGGCTCTAGAGTCGTTACTGTTTATATGTCATAAAGTTGAATTTATTTATGCAGATTAGTAGTGCAGATAGTAATAATAATGATGATCATTTTAATATAAAAACTTGAATGATTAATCGATAATCGATCGTTAATTCTTCCGACGATCGATTAAGAAAATTTCATCGAATGCCCATCCCTAAATTCGACCAACGGAAATTATCAAAAAGGGGAGGGGGCGAGGGGGGAAAACATGTGCAGAGGACAGTACATGCTGCCTCTGTCCTGTTCAGTATGTACAGGGAATTTCCAATTTGTTTAAAAAGGAAATAAAGAGATCAACAATCACACAGTACAACAAGTGCAGGAGCTGCTTCCTCTGAGCAGTGTTTTGTTTAGTTGTAAATTAAGTCACATTGCAATTTTCAGGTGTATGAAATGATCTGTTATGTGGTAGGAAGGACTGCATGTCAGTAACAGCTCTCCAGTCATGGCATTAATTTAATATTTGTTATTAACCCAGAACGATCTCTCTTTGTGTTTCTTATACAGATTAATATCAGCCTGGTCCCCACGGCCTCTGTTGCATCTCAAGACCCGCCAAATATGATTGTGCAATTACATTTGCTTTTGTTTTCAGTGATGCATGTGAACCAAAGGAGCTCATTGGTCACCTAAGATTTACAAATAAAGTCTAATTTGGTTTAGTTTAGTGCTTTGCTTATTGATTCTGCAGAAATTCACAATGCAGATGTTTTTCAGTCCTCTGTGATATTTTTTTCTTTTATTTTTTCCAATACAGAGTGACCATGTGTGTCCCTGATTGGCCCAATTGAAAACAGGGAGATTCAGTGGTGGCCAGACTCACATTTTTGTGAAGTATTACAAGTAAGTAAGTGTGTATTCTGGATCCCAGGAAAGATATTACTTGGGTTTTGATTGTCTATTGTTACTTGATACCGATGTTCAAACAAAATGGTTCCAGTAGTCTGTACTAAAAATTTGTTTTTTATTAGTAACAACAGGAGCTGTAAAAACTATAGCTAGCCAGTACTAATACCACTACTTATACTAATAGTGATCAGTAAATTACATTTTTATTCATAATTCCAATTGGACCATTTTCCAAACACAGGTATCAATATCAGTGTTGTTACCTGGGTACGCATATACCTACACGTCTCACTGTTGTAGTATTAGATAAGATAATCCACTCTCAGCACAAGAGTGAAGTTAAAGTGGTCATTTACACTGGGTGCTGCCTCAACAAACAAAAGCTCTATTCTCCTCTTATCTTGATGTATTTGAACACACCTCAGCGTCGTGACAGGTAGAAGTTTAACCTAGTCATTAAGCTTATATATAGGCCTCTATACGCTATGGGTTTTACTGGGAAAATAGTTTAGCCTACATATTTTAGCAGCATAAACCAGCGCAACATACCATAACATTTACTGCCTCATGTGCAACGCCCTGCAATAAATGAGGCCTACTGCAAACACACAGCCCATTAAGTATTATTGTTAATACTGTAATGGCAACATCATCAAAGCACCAAATGATTCACAACTTATGGAGTTTACACTTGAGACATTAGGATTAGAAACATAAGGGATAAATAATGGTGAAATTAAATTAAACAAAACTTGTGTGATTGATTTGAAGGGTAATGTGTTGTTACCATAACCATATGAGACACCAGAGTCTTGTAACTCATAAATAAACCTCTCATTTTGTTTTATTTTTCCAACATATTTTGTTTAATAATTGCACAATATTGCAGGGTGGGCAATAGTCAAAAGTATCAAAAATCAGATACTAATTGATACTAACTTGTATAGAAACTAGATACTCATTGAGCAGGTATCGATAAAAAGGAAAAAAGTCTAAAAAAGGACTGAAATGTACCTTTTTTGAACAGCTTTAGAATGAACTTGAGCCATATCAGAACAAGTATAGGACAACATAGACTGGTATACATCCATAGACCACTAGGGAACCTACTTGGACAGCTGAGGAATTACACAGATATAACACCACATGGTAATATAAAAGAAAGTACTATTATTCAAACCTGAAAAATTACATTCTATTATTTAAAGAAAGAGTGTTTTTTTTTTATTATTATTGTGGTATCAGAATCAGTATTAAGTCTTGTGTCTATTCCTTAGTATCGAAATCAAGGTTGAAATTTTAGTATTGGGACAACACTGGGCAATGTGGATGAAATGTCCAAAACATAAGTAAGGCTTAAAAATACTACACTAGCTATGGTAACATTATATCACTGTTAAACTACTATTGTGATTGCTATAATAATGACTGCAGCCAATCCTGTTATCCATAAACCTAGGTCTTGAACAATAATTTGGATTATTTGAGCTCTAATCCACTGCTGACACCTGTGCACATTTTACAGATTGCATTGGCCCTCATCTGTGATCACATTACACAGGAGCCCGGCCGATGGACCACAACTGCCCCTCGGCCCCTGCCTCTCTGTGGCAAGCTATGTGTGCATCTCTGACCCGGGATTTCCCATAAGGCCGTGCATGTGTTCAACGGGTAAGCATCCCGGGGTGGGGAAAACAGTTGTTGAGATTCATTGGATTTAAATTTGTAACATATGGTGACAGAAATTGAATCGCTTTAGCATCAAAGTTGGGTAGATACAAAATACAATAAAGAATGTATAGCCTACTCTTTGAGCATGTAGTGCAGTGGTTGTTACACTTTTGGTATCAAGTAACCTCGCTTTAAAGGTCTTATATTATCTAAAACTGACTCTTGTGAGCTTTAAGGCATGTTCGAATGTTGTTGCCTTAAAAACATAACTGGTTTTGTGTTTTGTTTCATTCACACATGTTTGAAGAATCCTGCAATAATAGTCTGTCTCCAAAACTCTAAATGCTCTGTTCCACCCTGTGGTTGTCATGAAGCAGTAGTTTTCAAGTTAACAGCTACCTTTCACCTTTACTTCCATAGAGAGGGGCAATTCCAGGGCTGAAATTATCAAAATTATTCTAGAGAAGGTGTGTGGAGTTTTAAAATACAGTGGAGTACTTCCTGTGTTACTCCATGATATCAAAAAGTGAAATAGAGCTTTTTCAATTTGAGAGAAGAACTGTAGGGTTTATATTTATTTAAACATATGTGAATGAAACAAACCACAACTCCAGGTATGTTTTGGTCAAGAAAACCACATTATGGGCCCTTTAAGCTTCATTTCACACTTTGAGTACGCCCTAACTCTGGTCATATATAGGAAAATACATTTGGTAACTTGGAAATGATTACTACTCTCTACAATTATCATTTCTTGTTGTAATGATATGGAAATATCATGGATATGAAAATGGATATGAAAATCAGACTGATGTAGCCTTTGTGGTAAATAAACAAACCACTGATGCAAAACATAACAGTTATGGAAAAGTATTTGAATTATTTCTTTCTGTACCTGTTACAGCCTGCAAATGTCAAGATAAAAATAGATTTCTATAGTAAACAGCTTGCACAACAAAATAGTTTTCGTCAAATAGTAAAATGGGTTTAAATATAACTGACCGGATAGATAACCTATATTGAATTCCAGGTTTAATAGAATTTGCTGTATCACTTATCCATCCAATATCTGGGTTTATTTCCTCCTCCAGGTTGCTAGCTGCCAAATGTCTGCCTTTTTGCTTTCAACTCCTCCCTGGAAGATTCCCCTTCACAAAAAAAAAAAACAAATGCTACTCTGGTTATGTGAAATCACCTCAAGGTTGCAGTAGGTGTGAGAGTGAGGTATGGTTTAACAAATGTTAGCTCATCAAAGAGAAAAAAATACCATCCATCCATTTTCGTCCGCTTATCCAGGGGCCGGGTCGCGGGGGCAGCAGCCTAAGCAGGGACTCCCAGACTTCCTTCACCCCAGACACGTCCTCCAGCTCCTCCGGGGGGACCCCGAGGTGTTCCCAGGCCAGCAGAGAGACATAGTCCCTCCAGCGTGTCCTGGGTCTTCCCCGGGGCCTCCTCCCGGCGGGACATGCCCGGAACACCTCCCGAGGGAGGCGCCCAGGAGGCATCCGGAACAGATGCCCGAGCCACCTCAACTGGCTCCTCACCCTACTCCCGCAATCTCGTCCTTTCGGTCACTACCCAGAGCTCATGACTATAGGTGAGAGTAGGAACGAAGACTGACCGGTAAATCGAGAGCTTCGCCTTTCGACTCAGCTCCCTCTTCACCACAACGGTCCGATACAGCGACCGCATCACTGCCGAAGCTGCACCGATCCGCTTGTCAATCTCACGTTCCGTCCTTCCCTCACTCGTGAACAAGACCCCGAGATACTTGAACTCCTCCACTTGAGGCAAAGACTCCCCACCCACCCGGAGAGGGCAAGCCACCTTTTTCCGGTCGAGAACCATGGCCTCAGACTTAGAAGAGCTGATCTTCATCCCAGCCGCTTCACACTCGGCTGCAAACCGCCCCAGTGCACATTGTAGGTCCTGGTTCGATGAAGCCAACAGAACAACATCGTCCGCAAACAGCAGAGATGAAATCCTGTGGTCCCCAAACCGGACCCCCTCCGGCCCCTGACTGCGCCTAGAAATTCTGTCCATAAATACAATGAACAGAACCGGTGACAAAGGGCAGCCCTGGCGGAGTCCAACATGCACCGGGAACAGGTCTGACTTACTGCCGGCAATGCGAACACAGCTCCTGCTCTGGTCATACAGGGACCGGACAGCCCTTAGCAAAGGGCCCCGGACCCCATACTCCCAGAGCACCCCCCACAGGACACCACGAGGGACACGGTCAAATGCCTTTTCCAGATCCAAAAAGCACATGTGGACTGGTTGGGCAAACTCCCATGAACCCTCGAGCACCCGATGGAGAGTGTAGAACTGGTCCAGTGTTCCACGACCAGGACGAAAACCACACTGCTCTTCCTGGATCTGAGGTTCGACTATCGGCCGAATTCTCCTCTCCAGTACCCTGGCATAGACCTTACCGGGAGGCTGAGGAGTGTGATCCCCCTATAGTTGGAACACACCCTCCGGTCCCCCTTCTTATACAGAGGGACCACCACCCCGGTTTGCCAGTCCAGAGGTACTGTCCCCGACTGCCACGCGATGTTGAAGAGGCGTGTCAGCCAAGACAGCCCCACAACATCCAGAGACTTAAGGTACTCAGGACGGATCTCATCCAACCCCGGAGCCTTGCCACCAAGGAAGCTTGCCAACCACCTCAGTGACTTCAGCCAGGGTGATGGATGAGTCCGCCTCCGAGTCCCCAGCCTCGGCCTCCTCCTCGGAAGATGTGACGGTGGGATTGAGGAGATCATCAAAGTATTCCTTCCACCGCCGGACAACGTCCCCAGTCGAGGTCAGCAGCTCTCCCCCCGCACTGTAAACAGTGTTGGTGAAGAACTGCTTTCCCCTCCTGAGGCGCCGGACGGTTTGCCAGAATCTCTTTGAGGTCGTCCGATAGTCCTTCTCCATGGCCTCCCCGAACTCCTCCCAGCTCCGAGTTTTTGCCTCCGCGACCGCACGGGCTGCTGCACGCTTGGCCCGCCGGTACCCGTCAGCTGCCTCAGGAGTCCCCCGAGCCAGCAAGGCCCGATAGGACTCCTTCTTCAGCTTGACAGCATCCCTTACTTCCGGTGTCCACCACCGGGTTCTGGGGTTGCCGCCGCGACAGGCACCACAGACCTTTACGCCCACAGCTCCGAGCAGCTGCATCGACAATAAAGGCCGAGAATGAAGCCCACTCGGACTCCATATCTCCGGCTTCCGGAATCCGGGAGGACTTCTCCCGGATTCCGGGGGAGGCCGGAGATATGGTATGATATGGATAAGGTGCGAGTTGAAAGTCCCTCTGACAGAGGGCTCCGCCAGACGTTCCCAACAGACCCTCACTACACGCTTGGGTCTGCCAGGTCTTTCCGGCTATTGTACATCTCATTATTATTATCAAATTCTCACACATGCTGTTGTCTAGGTAACCAGGTTATATCACAGACGGCATTGTTGTAAAATTAAAAAGATTTTGTCATTTTAATAAAAAACAAAACAAAAAAAAACAAAAACTTTGTAGTCATGTCATCTGACCTCCGGCCGCGTGTCTTGGACACTCGGGTGAAGAGAGGGGCTGAGCTGTCAACTGATCACCACCTGGTTGTGAGTTGGGTTCTTGTATTCAAGTACACCTCCAGACTCCAGTTAACCCTTATATTGTGTTAGGGTCAAAATTGAACCGTTTTCAAGTTTAGGTATGTAAAAACTGCCATTTGCTTTTTTGTACCGGAATGAGGCTTCATCTAATCCTCAGACACAACTATTTTTAACGCAACAAAATCAATTTTCACCATTTTAGTAAATTGTAAAGTAAAAAAAAAAAAAAAAAGTGACATCTGTGGTGTTACGGGTCAAAAATGACCCGGCAGAGAATAGTGGCTGTTTTATGCATCACTTACAAGCTGTAGGCTGCTCTGTGGATCAAATATGGCTCAGTGTGTCCCACAACACACACACACACACACACACACACACAAAGGTCGTCTTCACCCACGTGAACTCTTCTCTTTCTTGCAGCACATTGATACATTTTGAATCTAAAATAAACATTGTCATATATAAACAGGGTTTTAGTGAGATATTATCAGCTGTATTCTGTTGCAGCATCAGTTAACATGAGCAGGTTCACTGTTTATGAGGCGCTGGATCAGATTTTTGGTCATGACAGTGATTCTGAAGACAGAGAGGAAAGTGAAGCTGAGGAAGATGTATCTGAGGATGAGGATGAGGGCACAGACTGAATAAAAGAAGTGGACTAAGTGAGTGTGACGTCACCCACAGCGTTTGGCGCTGCTCAAATGAAGCTCACGGTTACAGGAGCGAATCTAGAGCCAGGTTATATGTTATGAATAGGATTTTTTGGACGGATAAAACAGCCAAAAAAAAAAAAAAATCAGGATCATGTGTCGCAGGTTAATACGTATATTTTTAAGACCAAAATGACGAGGTTCACAGCAGCAGGTACAGAGAGAAGGACGACAAGATCCTAACATAAGTCAATTGGAGCCAGAGTCAGAAGGAGCCGGAAGAGCCTCCTGGAGAACTTTCTATTTGGAACGCGGTGGCTACAGCGTTAGTTATGTCCATTCATATATACGTCTGTGGATGAGGATGAGGTTCAGTATGACTCTGAACAAGAGCACACATGTGGTGAGGAGAACCCAGATGTCACAAAGACTGAAAGAGACGTCTTCAAGTCAAGAAAAAGTGACAGTTCATGGTCACCAAGCCTCTTGACACCCCAATATAATTATACTTATATAAATTTGATTTATATTATATGTATTATATATAAAATTATTATGATTATAGTATAATTATATAATATAATTACAAATTTTATCACTATAGGAAATATAATTAGTGAATTTAAGCAGTTTTTGTAATAAAAAACGAGTGGTATATTTTAAGATAAAAGGTCTGTGCAGCCAAAAATAAATAAATAAATAAAAATGTTTCCATGGACATGAACACATACTAAGTTAGTTATGAGGGGAAAAACAATATTGGATGATATGCAGTGTTTTTAAGTATTTTCAGGCTGAGTTAAATCACGGGTAGCTTTCTAACACAATACAAGGGTTAACATGTTTTTGTTTTAAATAGTTTTTTGTTTTTTTTAATCCCAAAGGCACTACAGAAATGGACTAATCAACAAATAATCACTGATGATTACTAAAAATAATATGCAGTTACAGCCCTAATCTAACAGAATATTTTTGTCTAATCTTGATTTGCTTTTAATTTTAATCTTTTATCAAGTGCAAGATACTCACCAAGAGTGGAGTTGTGGCTGTGCTGTGCAAGTAGCTGAGAAGTCAAAAGTTGGTGTCTGAGTTGAGTTGAAGTTGCTCCTCTATTTATTTAGTTTCTGCACATCTGCTCCATGAAACGCACCAATCACAGGCAGTTTGAAATGATGACACAAATACAGTGTGAGCTGCTCCTTTCTTAGGAATGTGGTGCCATCTATACAGGTATTTTCTGCTACTCTTTGGTCATTTATGTGTGATTTTTTTCTCAAACTCTATTTAAACAGATGCTAAATTACACATGAAAAGGAGAATACATATTTTTATTTTATTACATTATTACATTATTTTATGGTATTTATATTTTTATATGGGTTTACTTAACATTAGGGATGGGACTAGATCTCGTGCCAGGAGAGGATGGGGCTCACATGTTGAAAATGATCTCATGACATTTTTATTTCCATGTTTTTACATTTGTGTCATTCGTTTTTCTTCTGTCCAGTGTCTGTGCAGGAGAGTTTAGAGCGGAAGTTTGGGAAACAAGGAGGACCCATCCCCATCGTGCCCACCGCTGACTTCCAGGCTCGAGTTGCTGTAAGTGCACAAAGTTCAATCACACTTTTATAAGTTACACTGAAGGAACTGGAAAGTAAGTGCATCAATATGAATGTGCAGGAAAGAACTGATCAAGAGACAAAGCTGTTTAATTGATCTTTACTTGTTTTTTTTTTTTTAGGGTGCGTCAGAGAAGGACATTGTTCACTCAGGCTTGGCCTACACAATGGAGAGATCTGCTCGGGTTAGTATTTTATAATAATAGTTTCACTAATTAATATATCAACACATTTCAGTGCAAACATTTGAAGTTGTTGGGGAAGTACACAAACAAACACAATATTCAAATTCCACAAATGGACAGAAAAAATGTACAGTGCCCCTTTTAAAAGTGATACAAACGCAGCAGTTTGGCAGGTTTGATGATTTCACATTTAAATATAATTTATATCGTCTTGTCTTGTCTTGTCTTGAAATAAGAATCCAGATCTCTGTGGATCTTCATTAAATAAAGAACAAATAAAATGTAAATTTATGGTTTCAAATATTTGGACTTAGGCAGGCAGGTTAATTATTTGTTTTTTAGATATTTTTGTGCATGTTTAAGTTATGAAAAAGTAAAAATCTCCATGCTTGCTAAACTTTGACTAGAACCTGGTGAAAGTGAAGGAATGCAGTTAAATAATAAAAATATAAAACAATAAGAGTTGAATAATTAAACCATACAGAAGCAGTTAAACGTATTGGTGACATGTCCATAATGTCCACATGAGGGCGCCAGAGCATTTTGTTTCCATCCGTAGATCTTTACAGCTCTCAAAGATGAACACAATCAAGTGAATAGTATAGGGTAATAAATAAATAAATAAATAAAAATACATAAAATGAAAAAAAATATTTAAAAATAAATAAATAAAACATAAAAAAAACAATTTAATAAAATAAATAAATAAATAGTACAGGGTAATCATATGTTTCAGTGTCCTGGGCGCCATTTTGAGGACTTTTTTTTTGCCATTCCATAGATGTAATATTATTTTGAAGGGTAACTGCAGCCCTTTTCTCTCTCCTCAGGGCTTTGGTAACGTGGGTCTTCACTCCATGAGGTACCTGCACAGGTTCGGGGCCAAGTGTGTGGGAGTGGGCGAGATCGACGGAAACATCTACAACCCCGAAGGCATCGACCCCAAGCAGCTGGAGGACTACAAACTGGTCTGAACCGCTCTAGTCCAGTTCTTAACCGCTCTAGTCCAGTTCTGGTCCAGTACCAAAAAATGCCCATGCTCATATATCAACCATTTTCATAGTGATTAACAATTCAAATGAAAATGTTATCTCCTTATAGCCAAAAGTTTTCCCCTCATTTCTCACTCCCTCTCCCCCTCACTCACTCACTCACTCCCTTTCTCTCTCTCCCTCACTCTCTCTCCTTTTCTCTCCCTCTCCTCTCTCCTTTTCTCTCTCTCTCTCTCTCCCTCTCTCTCTCTCTCTCTCTCTCTCTCTCCTTCTCTCTCTCTCCTTCTCTCTCTCCCTCTCTCTCTCTCCTCTCTCTCCTCTCTCTTCTCTCTCTCTCCTTCTCTCTCTCCCTCTCTCTCTCTCCTTCTCTCTCTCTCCTTCTCTCTCCCTCCCTCTCTCTCTTTCTCCTTCTCCCTCTCCTCTCTCCATTTCAAATCACAATGAGAAATATATAGATATATCTAAATATATAAATATATACACATATAAATATATAAATATACACATATATAAATATATACATATATAGATATATTAATATATACATATATAGACCACAGACTGTATAAATGAAGTGGATTAAAGTGAGTGTGACGTCACCCACAGAGTTCAGTGTCGCTCAAATGAGGCTCGTGATGCTCATGGTTACAGGAGTGAAACTGGAGACAGGCTCTATATTATGAATGAGATTTTTTTGAAAGACAAAATTGTGAAAAAAAACCACCAGGATCATATAGAGCGAGTTAGTATGAACATTTTAAGACTAAAATGGGAGCCACGATCAGCAGGAGCTGTAAGTATGAACTTCTTATTTGGAACGTGGAGGCTGTTTACATATAGATAGATAGATACACACACACACACACACACATATAAACAATTCACTAGCAAGGATCACCCCACAACAGTGGAATACGATAACGATATTTATTGACTGTGGATGATGTGGTGGCTGTGGGGAGATTCAGGGTGGGGGTATAATCTCCAATCCAAAATAGTCACCCATCTGAATCAGAACCCCCCTCCTTGAAGATGCCGTCTTTGGACTGAGGATGGACGAAAAACGCCGGTGGGAAAGAGGGGGTCGAGGGAGCTGGCACGGTGTTGTCGGGATGACTGTATAAATGGGGCTTCTGGATAATTGAAGGTGTGTTTGAGATAACATGTGTTTGGCTGGAGAGGAGAGATTGAGGCGTACACACACAGACACACACACACACACACACACACACACACACACACACACACACACACACACACACACACACACACACACACACACACACACACACACACACACACACACACACACACACACACACACACACACACACACACACACACACACACACACACCTCACACACACACACACACACACACACACACACACACACACACACACACACCACTGCCCTGTCCATATTTGTATAGATGTCCAACAGATTTTTTTCACATTGAGATCTGATGTGTTTTTAAAGTGTTCCTTTAATTTTTTTTATATATATAGATATATAAATAAAAATTAATGACTACTTAGACCACAACAAACACGGTTACAACAGACTTTATTTTAATAAAAATCTATTGTTATAGTTTTTGTTTTGACAGAAGTTGAGAATCACTGGTCATTTGTCTTCTTTCTCCTTCTTTTCTTCTTCCTTCTTCTCCTTTTCTTTCACCTCCTCCTCATTTTTTGCCTCCTCCTTCTCCTTGTCATCTGTAACTTTCATTTTCTGAAGTTTTTCTTCTCAACATCTTTCTGAGTTGCAGCTGATTTCATTTTCTCAAATTTGTCAGAAAACGATTTTTGGAGGCTTGATCCCAGAATCAAAAACTTCCCACTGGGGAACACC